TAATTAGGTGGAACCAAACCCCCTCCACCGGTGCGGCCCAGACCATAGACCCCTGTCATTTAAAACTAGGTGGAACCAAACCCCTGCCACCAGTACAGTCCAGGCCCAAAGACCCACGCCGTATTAAAAACTAGGTGAAACCAAATTCCGGATAATTCGGAGTTACTTCATCCCAATGTCAGACGCAATTTTTAGTTGTTTTAAAGCCCCACTCTGGCTGTTGCCGGGTGCCCCGATATAACCCAACGTATAGACTGAACGAGGTTTCTGGGACCTGTCCCCGGGTGATCGTCATCCGAATGGTGGCACTTTGTGTCACACGGTGTTTATCGCTCGGTGTGATGTCCTGGTGGGGCTGAGCTGAATCAAGAACTGACATCACAGCACTCGGGGCATTTCTGTGTGTGCTCTGTCCTCACCTTCAGCAGCCAGTGCAAAGTTCCAATACTGATGGTCACAATCTGATTATATGTCAGTCTTGCCTTTCCTCTGAGTTTAGTGAGCCGGCCAGACCCCCTGTTTCCAAAGGGACTTGACCACATCTGCCTTGTCATGTATCAGTTCACCACCAGTGGTGCAGATCCAACCAATCTGTCTGCCCGTTTATTACCCACTACACCGGCAGTGTCTGGAGAAAAGATCCAAAGTATGCTCACTACCCGTGACCTTTGCACTAAAGCTTGCCTTTCTGCTCGAAGCATCCCTGTCTTCACCTTTTTATGCATGCTTTCTGAGTCTGTTACAATTACGACATGTGTATGCATCTTGTTCTCTAGCCACCGGACAGCTGCAGTTACGTCTCTGCTCCATTTTCATGCTAGATGTTGTGTTGCCATATGCTAGGCTGTCTTGCACTAAAGATTTTTCATTGGCCTTTCGCTACGAACCCGCAGACTCTTCTCTTTCCTCTCAGCACCGAACCATCTGTATAGATAATCAGATCACCTGGACGTGAACTGTCGTGAATTAACTGATGGACTTCAACCTCTGTAGCACTCGGTGGCCACTCTCTGCACACCTGGCCCAATGTGATCATAACCCTGCACAGGTCAGACTTCTCCGCTGGTACTCTGACCCACTCCTCTCCTCGCCCAATGTTCTCCAGCATGCATACTTGTCTTATTGTGTCTTCTGCTTGACCCATCCACGATTTTCCTCTTTTCAGCCTCTGACCCTTGCCTGCAGCCAAAGCTTTATACAGAGTTTCCTGTCTGCAGCTACTCTGAGGTGTGACTTAGCATGCAGCACCTTTAGCTTATCTGCAATAGTCGGCAATGCAATGATGTATCGCATGCACACAATCGGGGTGTCTCTTGTACAACCCAGGATCAACTGCATAGCTTCATTCTGTATGCGCTCCAGTTTCTCTAGCTGACTCTTCGAGACAGTAACCCCGATCTATAATCAATCACTGATATGCATTTTCAATTTATTATTAAACAAGGTGTGTATGATATGTATGTTTGCGCGCGCGCGTGTGCTTGATATGTATGTATGTGTAGGCGTGTTTGTATATATATATGACTCTGAGTATGTTGTTTGTCTGCTTGTGTATCTGCGTGTGTGTCTGCGAATGTCTGTGTCCTTGTGTATGTGCGAATGTGTGTGTGTGTTCGCGCGTATGTCCACGTGCATATTTGATGTGACTGTGTGTATATCTTCGTTGGTGTCTGTGTGTGTCCCCGTATGTGTTTGTCTTCATGTTTGCCTGTGTATGTTATGTGTTTTGTCTGCGGGTGTGTCTATGAGGCTGTATGTATGTATCTCTGTGTGTGGGTGTCTGTATGTCTGTCTGCGTGACTGTATGTGTCAGCATGTGTCTGTCTGTCTGTGCATGTCTATGTGTGTTTCTCTGTGTGTGTTGTGTGTGCCCCTTTGTTGTCTGTATGTGTCTGCATGTCAGAGTATATGTATGTGCGTGCTGAATATGTGTGTCTGCGTGTGTATTTCTATGTGTTTGTATGTATATGCATTTCTGCGTGTTTGTCTCTGTGGGTGTCAGTATGTGTTTGTCTGCCTGTTTGTCTGTATTTGTGTGTGTGTGTGTGTGTTTGACTGCGTGTGTGTCTATGTGGCTGTATGTATGTGTCTGCATGTTTGTCTGCGTATGTGTGTGTGTGTGTCAGTATGTGAGCACGAATGTAAATATGTGTGCTGTGTGTTTCAATGTGTGTGTTTATATGTAAGTGTCTGTGTGTGTGTCTGTATTTTTGTCTGAGTGTTTGTGATTCCGTGGGAGTGTCCGTGTGTGCATGTGTGTGTCTCTCCATGCATGACTGGATTTATGACTGTATGTGTGTATGCCTGTATGTTTGTGTGTACGTATGCCTGTGTGTTTGTGTGTATGCAAGTTTGTTTATATGTATCTGTGTATGCATGTATGTAATGTATGCATGCATGTTTGTGTGTGTAAGTGAGTGGGTGAGCGTGTGTATGCGGGTGTATGTATGCACGCGCGGGTTTTTGCATGCACTTTACAACTCATGCTTTTGTGTTCTTTTATAATATTCATAATATGCATAACATCATATGATCATAACATGCTTTATTAGTAAAATACAACTGCTGTGCGAAAGATGGTTGACTGGAAGGGCCGAATGTAAGACGGGCCTGCTTGCCCAATTTGTGACCCTTTGAAAATAAAGTTCGTTCGTTCGTTCGTTCCTTGCCATTTATTTTGAGTCTGAGAAAATCAGCTCTAATAATCCTGTTGTTCAAAGAACACCACCAGACGGTTGCCTTTTCTTGGTTGATTACAGCACTCATCTCTGTAAATCAGTCGATCACCTTACCTACTGTTGCCTGTAACTCTTCAGCTATTTGATTCTAATCTCCCCCTTCCTACATACGAGAACATCATCTGCAAATTTCAATAGTATGCCAACTCCTGATGTTCCTATGTGTGCAATCTTTTTCCTAAAAATACTGAACAGTACAGGTGAAACTGGCGTAATGCTGACCACATTACCCACCTAGTGCCGACGGCATGTACAAATATGGGAGCTCTTCCAATTTACCCGATAGATAGATCTTTACTCACAGGTGAAATTGCAGACCCTTCGGTAGTCCTGGAGCTGTAATACACTGTTCAGAGGTCGATAGTCCCAGGTGGAGAGCTACCCAGGCAGTATACACAACGTCTTTTATCCAGTTCACTGACCAAGGACAGACTCCTTTCTCCATAAGTGCTTTTATCAAGATACTGTAAATGACTCTGTTGTAAGCATCTTTTAAATCAAGTGCCGTTGCCACCAGTGTTGCCACTTTTCTTTGACCAAAAATATCCAGAACAAAGTCAAAAAATATCTCAAAACATCTATAAAAAACATCCAAGTGGAAAGAGACAAATTACATAGCGATTGATATTTTGCATGGAGATGTGTTGGCACACGTACTAATACATGCTGCATGAGATAAAGGATTGTAGAGAGGCATGATCGCCCACGCCAGTCGGCACCTGATGATGATGACGATTGATATGACTTATCCTATAGAATCATGTTCTCATCTTCACTGATGTCTGCCTAACAAGATCCACAGGATAAACTTAGCTTGGATGATGAAGTTGAAGCTTAAGATCCAAAATGACTCTGGTATGCTTTATGATAAAGTTTATCTGTTCCAATTTCTTTAAATACACAATCAGGGAGCTGATGTTGAATAGCATTTTCCTACTCTCATCAGGACGAATTTTTTTGTCAAGATAGCATTGAAGAGGTCAAATTTCATACTGTTTCTTAGGTTAGATTTGATATAATTCATAGAACTGAAACTTAAAAACATTGCCACCGATCCTTCAACTTTTGATGATTTAATTATCAGTGTAGTTCTGAAAACAGATGTCAGCTGTGTAATATCTTTGAATGGAACTGCAGTTTTATGCTTTTTAGTCTCTGCATGACTCTTTAAGTTGTGTATTTTTGCTCTAATTTCACACTTGCAGTACTTTCAACGAGCCTTGGTCATATCCCCAGGAACTGCCATCACCCAGTCTTTAATTTTGTCATCATGCAACCATTCTTTCCGAAATGTTTGCTCATTGTTTACTTTTGGCATGTTAACATGTTTTTTCAAGTGAAAGCCACACAAAGGTAAGCAATTATTTTTTATTTTGAAATCATATGAAAAAGAAAAACAAAGTCAGCACAGTGAGGATATGGTTGAAACAAAGTTAATATGATTTACGCGCGCTTTTAATTAATCAGTACCGGGGCTGCCAGATATTTGTGCGTTGACCCGTAGCCATCGACAATTACTAAATTTTGGCCATGGTTGACCCCAGTGAGAATTCAAAGTTTAAGTAATCGAAATTGTCACAATGTACGTACCAGACCAAAACAAAAATATTGTAGTAAATATTTTACACAGTAATTATTAAACTAACACTGAAATAAAAAAAAATCTTTAAAATATCTAACTCCATATGAAAACAAATAGAACAACATCTACCATCTAAATGTCAAAAACACAAGGGAATGCAAGGGGAAAACATCTAAATCTGGATGTAAAACATCCAAAGTGGCAACACTGGAGTTGCCACCGTTTCCTATCTGGTTGGGTTGAATTTCAATGAACTCCCGATACCGGTTCGGTCCAGACACAGAGACCATTGCCATATTATACTAGGTGGAACCATTCCTCTGTAACCAGTGCGGTGGAAGCCCCGAGAGTCGAGACCACTGTCGTATTGAACTATGGGGAACCAAACCCCTGGCACCAGGGTTGGGGAGGAGTCCCTAAAACAGACCGAGGATGACAGTGGGTGACGCCCCTGGCGGAAGTGATGTCACGGCAGCAAACATCAACAAGAAGGTCCGGCCCGTTACAGACGCAGTTCTAACTTGTGCCGTTGTTCCGACATTTTCTCTGCTTGGACGGTACTTGCTGTAGGGGATTCTAGCTTTGTAGTTTATGCGGATAGAAGATAGTGACGGCCAAGTTCCAAACGACTGAAAGTAAACTAGCAGTTAACAAACAAGATGCGCGTGTTGCGACGGTAAATGGCGGACGGAGGGAAGAGAACAACAACAAGAGGCCTACGTGACGAGGTGAATGTATGCCAGTTGTGTGGAGCACTTGACAATCTCTCCTTGTGCGGCGGCTGTCGGGGTACCTGGTACTGTTGTAAAGACCACCAACGTCGAGATTGGAAGGACCATAAACGGTCATGCAGACAGACTACTAAGACAGTCAACACCAGCTGCTCACGGACAGAAGGCGAAGGCCAGAAGAACGGCTTGTTGTCGACCAGGCCAGACATGCCCAACGAGTCGGCAGCTGAAGATACCAACGATGCGGATTTTGTCACGACCGACGACTGCGGCAGTAACCCCGCATCCCCGCTGAAAGTAACAGTCGACGAATGCTCTGCTCTCTCACGTTTACGCACTTTTGAACAGATAAAACCAGGAGAGGGGACACAAATCAACAACAACGGCGGCGGTACAGCTGGGTTGGTCACATCGGAGACTGGAGGCAGTAGTCGCGGACGTGAGGACAACCAGGTTGTCAAGACAAATACCTCTTCAAGGAAAAACACTCACACAAAGTCTTCCATAAAGAAGAATAAAAATGATCCTCATAGAAATTTGGCAACTATTTCTGAAGATGGGCCTCCCCCAGAGAGGTACTACCTAGATTACAACTCTCATCAAATAAGTCTGCCTCCTTCAGCAAAAACTGCCATTGCAGGTAACTCACCGGCTTCAGCCATGGGGCAAGGTGATAATAAACTTTCGGCTTTGCAGACCAAGGATCAGTACCTCACAATATTGCGATCTCGGTTTGGGGTGCTAGCCAAATATGTTGTGGATTGTTTAACTAAATACGGCATCTGTGTTATTGACAAGTTTCTGGGAGATGTCACTGGACATGAAATCCTGAAAGAAGTGATGCAGCTGAGTTCTACTGGAGTCATGAAGCAGGGACAGCTAGTCCACGGCCCTTCTTCTTCCAGTAATAAATATATTCGTGGGGACATGATCACCTGGGTGGATGGTACAGAACCTCGTTCAGAAAACATTCATTTTCTGATTTCCTGTATGGATGCAGTGATGCTTCAGTGTGCCAGCAAGCTGGATATGTACACCATAAATGAACGGACTAAGGTAGATAGATTTCCCTTGATAAGTATTTCCATTGGTACATTTTTGGTGTAGTGTCTTCATTGTGATAATTACTGTACATATTTCAGTTTTCTGTTAAGTTTCCTGGTCTCTGTCATTTGTTCCTCTCAGTTGGATGGATTTATGTGTGTGTGTGACTACGAGGGGTAGTCAATAAGTAAGTCAAAGATGGTTATAGGATTGGCAGGAAAATGTAGTTGGTTTCTAAAGGTGTCATTGGGTGACAGCAACATCGAACTTTATGTCTCTGTTCGTTAGGTGGCGCTAGGTGTTGCATGCGTATTTGCAACACAGAAACAAAATGGGGACTGTACTTATGGAATGTACCCTAACAGAAAAATGTGCGTTTGTGGGGGGGGGGGGGGGGGGGTGGAATTAACCATTTAGGGTGAAAACTTCAGGAGCATCCACTTTCCAGGACTGACTTAGCTAATAGTGAATTTCCACCTTTTTGGTCCAATGAAAAACCCACCTTGTTGCGAGACATTTCACAAATGACACAGAAGTTGATAACGTAAAGTGAAAATGTTGTTTAGAGAACAGAGCACGCAGTTCTGTGCAGCAGGTTTGGGAAAACATATAAAACGATGGACAAATGCATCAATGTTGGTGAAAATTATGTTGAAAAATGAGAAAGTGTATGAGTAAAAATAAATAGTTTTTAAGTTTTTATTGTCTTTAGTTTCTTTAAACAAATATTTGTGACTTACTTATTGACTTCCCCTCATAGATATTTAGCCTCAGCCATCTAGGAGCAGCCTCTTTTGAGATGCATCCCGTTTATATCGTTGTTAGCATTGGGCAATTGGTGAGTGATATCTCTTGGCACTCTCATATATGCCTTGACCTGTGTCACTTTGTTCAGTGGCCATCATCGGTTAAATTAGGACATATCACATGACGTGGCATGAAACAGACTGAGTCTCATCGCCATATTTTGTACTCGGTCCAGTCTTTCTAGCTGGGTTCTACTGACACAGAGAAGGTGCAGACCCTTATCTCTAACACTTAAAACAAGTCCCTGATGGAGTAGGAAAAGTATGCATTGTTCAGTATCAGGTGCCTTCAGTAAATATATTAAACCTTTCCTGGTTCTAGCTATGACATTTTCTATGTTATGCTTGTGTTACAAGCCTCTGTGGAATGTCATGCCAATGTATTTCATTGTGCTCATTCTCTTGATGTCTGTCACACAAGCTCCTGACTGTCATAGGTGTACTGACAGTGTGGTTATTCGGGGAGAACCATATTAAGGAGGCCATTGCCATGTTTACCTCTACTCTTGATTCATGGCACAACTTACAGAGTCATGTTGTAGCGTAGTCTTTCAGTTGTATACTTACAAAATATGGCAACAAGAATGCCTATGGCATCAACAAGAAATTAATACCAGCGTAAATCTGATTCTCTTAAACAACATCCTTTCTGAAAAGCTGGGGTATTGTTACCATGTCAAACATCAAGGTGGTCTGGAGAGATCGATGATGGAGGGGGTCAAACATCATGGTGGTCTGAAGAGATCGATGATGGAGGGGGTCAAACATCATGGTGGTCTGGAGAGATCGATGATGAAGGGGGTCAAACATCCAGGTGGTCTGGCGAGATCGATGATGGAGGGGGTCAAACATCCAGGTGGTCTGGAGAGATCGATGATGGAGGGGGTCAAACATATTGGTGGTCTGGAGAGATCGATGATGGAGGACACAGTTTCTGGATAATGAGGCAGAGACCGACCTCCACAAAGGTCGATACAGGTCTTTGAAGATGCATTGGTTATGAAAGCACACAGGGCTGGAGAGAGAGAGAGAGAGACTTGCAGGTGTGCTGTGAAGAAAGCAGTGTTCTGTAAAGGACATGCTGATTAATTAATCTCATCTCATCTTGATCCTTTGGTGTCTTGAGTTGTCGAGATGAATTATAATTTATGGGAAAGAGGCCATTTGTGCGCTTCATAAACTGGGATTGCCATGGACTCCCTTTCCGCTGGCTAGAGAACACGACACACACACACATTGTAATTGTAACTGATTCAGAAAGCATGCTGAGGAGGATCAGAACAGGTATGCTTCGTGCAGAGTGGCATGCTTCGCTGCGGAGATCACGAGTATCTCTTCTTATTTTATTGAGAGCCCTTTGCAGGAATTTCATTTCAGTTTTTGTAAGTTTTCTCTTCTTCTATCATTGTCAAGGTCTGACATTCACAACACAGTTGATTGTGTCCTAGAGTGCTCTTTTGGTTCCTGTTGATCCATGTTTGTTTCTTAGAAATGTTACCATTTGCACAGTGAGTTGGTTTGCTTTTTTACATCTGTCATCAGTCTTATCTTGTCACTTGCCAGTTGATGATATTATTCTTCCTAAGTTTTTAAAGTTGTTGGTTTGTTTCAGAGGTGTTTTGTAACCTGGATATTTATGGTTTTGTCTACTTAGCAGTGACCTCTTTTTTGTTAACATTAATTTTCATGCACTTAAGACTATGGCTGCAATTGACATAGAGCAGAGAATGCTTTTCACACTATATCAGCACCTGATCCTGTCAGTGGTGGATTATGGCCTGGGACTGCTTACCGTCTCAAAGAGTCAGATGGACAAACTAGAGCGCATACAGAACGCGGCTATACAGGTCATTCTGGGTTGCACCAGAGAAACCCCAGTGGTGTGTATGCGATACATCCTTGGTTTGCCGACGGTTGCAGGTAGGCACAAGGTGAGGCAGGCGAAGTCATATCTCAGGGTAGCTGCAGACACAGACCACCCTTTGCATGAAGCTCTGGGTGCAGTTAAGAGTCAGCGGCTGAAAAGAGGTAGGTTATGGATGGCTCAGGCAGAAGACACAATCAGACAGGTTTGCATCCTTGAGAACATTAGGCGAGGAGAGGAGTTTGTCAAAGTGCCACCTGAGCAGTCAGACTTGTGTAGTCATAATCACGCTGAGCCGGAAATGCAGAGACTGGCCAGCAGGTGCCACAGAGGTGGAAATTCAGCAATTAATTCAAGATAATGCTCACTCAGAGGATTTGATCATTTACACAGATGGTTCAGTGTCAAGAGGCAAAAGAAGTGCGTGGGGCTTTTTAGCAAAAGTTAATGGTCGACGTTTGGTGCAGGAGAGCCTAGCATATGATACTACAACATCCAGCTTAAGAATGGAGGTGGAGGCGGTCACTGCAGCTTTCCGCTGGCTAGAGAACACGACACACACACACATTGTAATTGTTACTGATTCAGAAAGCATGCTGAGGAGGATCAGAACAGGTATGCTTCGTGCAGAGTGGCATGCTTCGCTGCGGAGATCACGAGTGAGGGGTATTGTCTGGATTTTTTCACCGGGTCACGACGGTGTGTTGGGAAATAAACAGGCGGACAGACTGGCTGGCTGTGCACAACTTGGTGGAATACTGCTACATGATAGGGCAGACGTGGTTAGTGCCCTTGTGGGAAAAAAAATAAAAGAAAACCTGTACAATCTGGAGAAGCAGATGGATCACCACAGTCTGGTGAGATTGATGCAGTTGGGGGTGACGAAAGGTTCTGGCAGAAGCTCAAGGCTCAGAGGAAAGGCAAGACGGGCGTTTAATCAGAAAGCTACTGGCACCATTAGTATCGGAACTCTTAGCTGGCTGCTGAAGATGAGGACGGAGCGCTTATGGGAATGCTCCGAGTGCTGTGATGTCGGTTCTTGAATCAAATCAAATCATTAATTTTTATGTTATGCTCTTTACAAATTTGGTGAAATCATTTATATGTTCTTGCAGTTCAGTTTCTGAATTAGCAATTGTTGCTTGGTCATCCACAAGTAGTATTTCTTTGATGAAACTCTTTAGCTTTGGATCTTCGTCTCCTTGGTATTTAATAGTCCTTGTTTGGTTGGTTTCTGAACAAATCTTATCAGTGTAAGTTATGTATAACAGGGGGAGACAGGACACTGGCCTGTGATACTGCAAATTTGATTGTGAATGATTCTGAGTGCTTTCTGCTTGTTCTAGCAGTAAAATAACTGTTGTTATACAAGCTGTATTTACACCGTAACTTTTCAAGATCCCCCCCCCCCCCCCCCCCCCCCCCCCCCCCCGAGTTTGTTTCTGTCATATGCTTATTCTTGATCAACAAAGGCTAAATGGAGTGTTTAGTTTAATTTGGTGAATTTCTATATAAGTTATCTGAGAGTAAAGAGGGTATCTGTGCATCCCATGATTTTCCTAAATCCTAGTTGCACTTCACTTAGCTGGGGCTCGATTACAGGTCAGTCTGTTCTCTAGTATATTGCATAATATTTTCCTGGTGTGACTCAGAAAGGGAGATACATCTGTACTGTGTGCAGTCTTTTTTACTGCTTTTGGTTTTCCATATTGGAATGATTGCAGCATTTCCCCAGTCCCGTGGTGACTTGTTTCACCCACACATGGTTCAACAACCTGTGCAGCCTTGCTGTTCCCACTTCTATTGCTGCTTCAATGAGTTCATTTGGAATTTCATCTGGTCCTGGTGTTTTATTAATTGGAGCAACTCTGATAGCTTACCTGATCTCTTTCAGTGTGTCAGGTATTAGTTCCTGAGCGGTGTCTACTGTAGTTGCTGAATGATTGATTGATATCTGACTAAGTTGTATACTTTAAAGAAAGATGCATTCTGGTATTGATTTTTTGTTGTTTCTGCCTGCTATGTGTGAGTTAATTCACGTAATGTTGTTTTGAGTTACAACTGGCCTGCTCATTATCATTGAGGCCTGTTTGTGTGATGTCACTTGTATTTCTGATGCTGGGTCAGTGTGTTGTTCATATGAAGTGTTGTCTGCCCAGTTTGTCTGGCAGTCATCAAGTACTGGCTCTTCTTGATAATGTCTGTAGATGCAAATACGTTTCAATTCTAAGAATATTTGATATATTTGCTTTTTTTTTCTTTTATAAATATATTTACAGTTGATTTTAAAAATATATTTACACTGTTTGTTTTATAAATATATTTACATTGGCTTATTTGTTTTATTAATGCATTTACAATTATTTGTTTCATAAATAGACTAAATTTAATTGCACAGCTTCACATAGGATAGGGAAAGAATTGTATTCTTCTGATATCTACTTCATCTTTTGTCTCTACCGCTGCCATATGTTTATTCATTACCATAAATGCACCTGAGGCTCTTGTTGCTCCCCAGTAATACTAACACTAGTATTTAACAATGTCTGTATTGTGGGATGTTCATCCACCTCTGACCCTTGGTCTTGATCCAGAACTGGAACTTTGCATGCACATCCATTAAACAGATCTAGCTTTTGTGTATGTGAACACTTCACATTAAACAGATCTAGCTTTTGTGTATGTGGACACTTCACATTAAACAGATCTAGCTTGTGTGTATGTGAACACTTCACATTAAACAGATCTAGCTTGTGTGTATGTGGACACTTCACATTAAACAGATCTAGCTTGTGTGAATGTGGACACTTCACATTAAACAGATCTAGCTTGTGTGTATGTGAACACTTCACATTAAACAGATCTAGCTTGTGTGTATGTGGACACTTCACATTAAACAGATCTAGCTTGTGTGTATGTGGACACTTCACATTAAACAGATCTAGCTTGTGTGTATGTGGACACTTCACATTAAACAGATCTAGCTTGTGTGTATGTGGACACTTCATTCTTCGTCTCTCAGCTCAAATATAGTTTTGTCAAAGTAATTTGTTTAAGGGGCGTAAGAGAAGGGAGACTCAAAAGAATACAGCTACAGCTAAAGTTAACTTTGAGTAATTATGACGGTAATTGTAAGACATGAGCAATAATCTGGCCACAAATATCAGTGTGTAACTCGACGGTTAACTCTGGCAGACCGCTGGCCCACTATTACGGAAATTTCCTAATCTGCCGCTAAACCGCTGTCCCTCAATGTCGGGAATTTGCGAACTATGAGAAAACAATGAGTCACAAACTAAAATTAACTAGCCAATCGTAATCAGATCCTAGATCTTCGCCCGCATGTGTTAGGATAAAATTTGTGTTGTTTTACGTAAACAAATTCTGAAAATTTACCATATAATGAGCGGCTAATGAACCAAGCACTTTGACAGGAAAGTGAAATAGGTCTAGGCTTTTTACAGTCCAACAGGTGATCGATACTTTAGTTTATTTAGACTCTGCGGAGTCATAATTTCATGTAGAATACATTCACAGTTGAAGTTACACAGTCAGTGAGATGTAGAATGATGAGGAAAATCTTGAAAATTAGAAATCTAGAAATAGATCGAAAGTAGGAAAAGGGGGCGTGTCCTTCGAACAGCAACATCTAGTGTTCACTTTGTGAAACAAGGTTGATCCTGCTGGATGGTTTAGCACACAAAGGTGGAATATTGGCGCTAGATAAAGGGTTTACCTATTTTCTACAGTGTCTGCAAGTTTCATCTTATTCTAGCCACTTGTATCATGTAACTAATATTTTTGTATATCATGTTGGTTTCTCTGCGTTAATGCCCAGGAGGTCAGGTATAGGAGGCAGTTAGGTTCAGGGCCTGAGGTCTGGTAGGGTTAAGCCATAATGGCTCTTGTAAATTTAACCCATCTACTGGTCACCATCTGGAAGGGGAATTATTAGTTCACTGAAAATGTGCAGACAAATTGATTTTCAGTTGTTTGTTTTATAAATAATTTACAGTTATTTTATGAATGTATTTACAATTGTTTGCTTTATAAACATGTTTAAAATTTTTTTATTTAATTTATAAATATTTTACAGTTAAAAAAAAAGATTTAAAAGTAGATATTGGTACTTTTTGGTTTATTTTATTCGTATTTTTTGCAAATGGTTTATTTATTATATATTACAGGGGTTTGTATATTAGATAATCTTTTTACAGGGATTTGTTTGTTTGATATATTTTTAAACAATAGTTTGCTTATATTCTATGCTTTTTTGTAAAGGAGGGGGGGGGGGGGATGCTAAAATATTGTTTCAGAAAATTTCGTTTATTTTGTATTTTTTTAAATAATGATGGATATTCTGATTTCAGGCTATGGTTGCCTGCTACCCAGGCCGAAAAACTCGCTATGTAAGACATGTAGACAACCCTAACGGAGACGGTCGATGTATCACTTGTATATACTACCTCAATGAAAACTGGGATGTTCGGGTATGTTTGAGTTCTCAGGGCTATATCTCGCATGCATTTTCCATTGATGAACATTTTTTTACTATTTTAGGTGTAGATGGACTGTGACTTGGTGGACGATATAGACTAGTAGTTAAACAATCCTGGTCTGTCTGTGTTGATATCTTGGTAGATGATATTGACTAGTAGCTGAACAATCCTGATCTGTCTGTGTTGATGTCTTGGTAGATGATATAGACTAGTAGCTGAACAATCCTGATCTGTCAGTGTTGATGTCTTGGTGGATGATATAGACTAGTAGTTGAACAATCCTGATCTGTCTGTGTTGATGTCTTGATGGATGATATAGACTAGTAGCTGAACAGTCCTGATCTGTCTGTGTTGATGTCTTGGTAGATGATATAGACTAGTAGTTGAACAATCCTGATCTGTCTGTGTTGATGTCTTGGTAGACGATATAGACTAGTAGTTGAACAATCCTGATCTGTCTGTGTTGATGTCTTGGTAGACGATATAGACTAGTAGTTGAACAATCCTGATCTGTCTGTGTTGATGTCTTGGTGGATGATATAGACTAGTAGTTGAACAATTCTGATCTGTCAGTGTTGATGTCTTGGTGGATGATATAGACTAGTAGCTGAACAATCCTGGTCTGTTAATGTTGATGTCTTGACCTGGTGGATAATATAGACTAGTAGCTGAACAATCCTGATCTGTCAATGTTGATGTCTTGTTGGATGATATAGAATAGTAACTAAACAATCCTGATCTGTCAATGTTGATGTCTTGTTGGATGATATAGAATAGTAACTAAACAATCCTGATCTGTCAGTGTTGATGTCTTGGTGTATGATATAGACAAGTAACTAAACAATCCTGATCTGTAAGTGTTGATGTCATCACTTGATGGATGGTTTAGACTAGTAGCTGAACAATCCTGATCTGTAAGTGTTGATGTCATCACTTGATGGATGGTTTAGACTAGTAGCTGAACAATCCTGGTCTGTCAGTGTTGATGTCTTGGTGGATGATATAAACTAGTATTTGAACAATCCTGATCTGTCAGTGTTGGTGTCTTCACTTGGTGGATGATATAGACTAGTAGCTGAACAATCCTGATCTGTCAGTGTTGGTGTCTTCACTGGGTGGATGATATAGACTAGTAGCTGAACAATCCTGATCTGTCAGTGTTGGTGTCTTCACTTGGTGGATGATATAGACTAGTAGCTAAAACAATCCTGATCTGTCGGTGTTGATGTCTTGGTGGATGATATAGACTAGTAGCTGAACAATCCTAGTCTGTCAGTGTTGGTGTCTTCACTTGGTGGCTGATATAGACTAGTAGCTGAACAATCCTGGTCTGTCAGTGTTGATGTCTTGGTGGATGATATAGACTAGTAGCTGAACAATCCTGATCTGTCAGTGTTGATGTCTTGGTGGATGATATAGACTAGTAGCTGAACAATCCTAGTCTGTCAGTGTTGGTGTCTTCACTTGGTGGATGATATAGACTAGTAGTTGAACAATCCTGATCAGTCAGTGTTGATGTCTAAGTGAATGATATAGACTAGTAGCTGAACAATCCTGATCTGTCTGTGTTGATGTCTTGGTAGACGATATAGACTAGTAGTTGAACAATCCTGATCTGTCAGTGTTGATGTCTTGGTGGATAATATGGACTAGTAGCTGAACAATCCTGGTCTCTCAGTGTTGATGTCTTCACTTGTTAATGATATTGACCAGTAGTTGTAAGCCTTGACCTGTCAATGTTGATGTATTGACTTGATTTATCATACAGACTAGTAGTTGAATATCCTGATCTGTCATTGTTAATGTTGTGACTTGGTTGATGATACAGACTAGTAGTTGAACAATCCTGATCTGTCAGTGTTGTTCATTTCTGGCAAGATGCAGTCCTTGTTTGTGTTTACCACCTGCACTAGGTTTATTGCATCAGAAAACAGGTCTATTTAGGATTCTAGAAGACCACTGCCACTTAGCAAGCATGACTAATATGTGACTAATTAAGGGCTTGGCTGAAATCTGATACGTTGGACTGAAAGGTGCAGATATCACAGCCTAGCTGTGAACTGTAACACAACATGGCAAACACCCTTTTAATGGGCAGAAGAATCAAAATGTGATGATGGCCCTGATCCATGGTAGAGGATTGGGCAGTTACCTTTCTGATACCTTTGTGTTTGTTCAGAAGCTACCTTTCTGATACCTTTGTGTTTGTTCAGAAGCTGCCTTTCTGATACCTTTGTGTTTGTTCAATAGCCTACCCTTCTGATACCTTTGTGTTTGTTCAGAGTCTGTAGTCATTGATCAGCCCAGGAGTTGAAGAGATGACATCCCAGGCTGTCAGTTATCAAGCTTGTCTATGAACAGCCGTATTTATGTTATAGCATATGTGATTCTAGTATACAAACAGTTGGATCCTTGTCTGCCAACAGCCATATTGATGTTATATCATATGTGATTCTAGTATACAAACAGTTGGATCCTTGTCTGTGAACAGCCGTATTTATGTTATATCATATGTTATTCTCGTATACAAACAGTTGGATCCTTGTCTGTGAACAGCCGTATTTATGTTATATCATATGTTATTCTAGTATACAAACAGTTGGATCCTTGTCTGTAAAAAGCTATATTCTATAGCTTATGGATTCTAGTAGACACACAGTTGGATACTTTTCTATTAAAAAGCCATGTTTATATTATAGCGTATGTGATTCTAGTATACACACAGTTGAATCTTTGTCAATAAAAGTCATATTTATATAGTATATGTGATTCTAGTATGCACACAGTTGGATCCTTGTCTGTGAAAAGCTGTATTTATATTATCGCTTGTATGATTATAAATAGATATAATATGTATCCTTGCCTCTGCTTTGGGGTTGGCGAACTCTGCAGATATTATTCGCTAGAGCATTCATTCATATAAATATCCACGAAGAATAAAAATAATTCTTTTTCAAAACCTGACTAAAACCATAATTACTCAAGTGAACCTTAAAGGTGTCATGACTAAACCATAATTACACAAGTGAACCTTAAAGGTGTCATGACTAAACCATTATATCACAAGTGAACCTTAAAGGTGTCATGACTAAACCATTATATCACAAGTGAACCTTAAAGGTGTCATGACTAAACCATTATATCACAAGTGAACCTTAAAGGTGACATGACTAAACCATTATATCACAAGTGAACCTTAAAGGTGACATGACTAAACCATTATATCACAAGTGAACCTTAAAGGTGACATGACTAAACCATTATATCACAAGTGAACCTTAAAGGTGTCATGACTAAACCATTATATCACAAGTGAACCTTAAAGGTGTCATGACTAAACCATTATATCACAAGTGAACCTTAAAGGTGTCATGAGTAAAACCATAGTTACACAAGTTGAACTAGTGGTGCAATAACTAAACCATTATTACATTCATGGACTAAATTGGGCTGTCGGAGCTGTGTTGTGTTGTCTGAACTAAGTTGCTCAATACATCCAACTGTACCTGCTGAATGCTGGATACATCTGAATGTACCTTCTAATACTAGATGTGTACCTGCTGAATGCTGTATACATCCTTGTGTACCTGCTGAATGCTGTATACACCCTTGTGTACCTGCTGAATGCTGTATACATCCTTGTGTACCTGCTGAATGCTGTATACATCCATGTGTACCTGCTGAATGCTGTATACATCCTTGTGTACCTGCTGAATGCTGTATACATCCATGTGTACCTGCTGAATGCTGTATACATCCTTGTGTACCTGGTGAATGCTGTATACATCCATGTGTACCTGGTGAATGCTGTATACATCCATGTGTACCTGCTGAAGGCTGTATACATCCTTGTGTACCTGCTGAATGCTGTATACATCCTTGTGTACCTGCTGAATGCTGTATACATCCATGTGTACCTGCTGAATGCTGTATACACCCTTGTGTACCTGCTGAAGGCTGTATACATCCTTGTGTACCTGCTGAATGCTGTATACATCCATGTGTACCTGCTGAATGCTGTATACATCCTTGTGTACCTGCTGAATGCTGTATACATCCATGTGTACCTGCTGAATGCTGTATACATCCTTGTGTACCTGGTGAATGCTGTATACATCCATGTGTACCTGGTGAATGCTGTATACATCCATGTGTACCTGCTGAAGGCTGTATACATCCTTGTGTACCTGCTGAATGCTGTATACATCCTTGTGTACCTGGTGAATGCTGTATACATCCTTGTGTACCTGCTGAATGCTGTATACATCCTTGTGTACCTGCTGAAGGCTGTATACATCCTTGTGTACCTGCTGAATGCTGTATACATCCTTGTGTACCTGGTAAATGCTGTATACATCCTTGTGTACCTGGTGAATGCTGTATACATCCTTGTGTACCTGGTAAATGCTGTATACATCCTTGTGTACCTGGTGAAGGCTGTATACATCCTTGTGTACCTGCTGAATGCTGTATACATCCTTGTGTACCTGGTAAATGCTGTATACATCCTTGTGTACCTGGTGAATGCTGTATACATCCTTGTGTACCTGGTGAATGCTGTATACATCCTTGTGTACCTGCTGAAGGCTGTATACATCCTTGTGTACCTGGTGAATGCTGTATACATCCTTGTGTACCTGGTGAATGCTGTATACATCCTTGTGTACTTGCTGAATGCTGTATACATCCTTGTGTACCAGCTAATACTAGATGCATCCTTGTGTACCTGGTGAATGCTGGATACATCCTTGTGTACCTGGTGAATGCTGGATACATCCTTGTGTACCTGGTAAATGCTGATTACATCCATGCACATTTGTTGAATGTTGGATACATCCATGAATACCTGCTGAGTGCTGGATATATCTATGCGCACTTGATGATCACAGTTTTTCCTGAGACTGTATGTTTATTTTAACCTTTGTATTGCTGTAGGAAGCCCCCTTTACTGCAGCCGTCCTCCTCATCCTCTTCCTTCACTATTCAGTGTTTTCTTCAAAAGAAGCTGACCTGTTTGTGGATGATTGTGATGTGTAGCTGAGGTTTTCTGAACAATGGGGTAGACAGACTCGGGTCAACAAACACCTAGTTGTCTCTGATGTCATATGTGCTAGTACATGACATTGCTGATGTTGTTGACTTCTATCAGAGCCCTCTAGTGAGCTCAAGACATTGACTATCACTTGTTTGCCAGTTGTGCTATGAGGGCTTCCTCAAGCTTTCCACATCCACCCGGTGTTAATGTGATTGCCAATCTGCTCCACAGCAACATGGTGGTTTGTTGAGGATTTACCCAGAAGGCTCCGACAGAGTGGCCAACATTGAACCCAAGTTTGACCGCTTGTTGTTTTTCTGGTCAGACCGGAGGAACCCTCATGAAGTGGAGGAATCATTCAGGGAAAGGTAAGCTTGCATATTTTCTCTTGTCTAGTGGCAAGGTCATCATCATCCTTATCATTATAACTGGTATTTCTATTGCCTCATTGTCCTTACCTGTTCTCTGTGTAACTGGGTACAGTACTTTCGGTTATACTGTCTGTGCAGTTCTTTTAAAAACAGATTTGCTGATTTTCAGGCTTCTACTTGTTCTGTAGAACAGCTTTCCCCAACTTTCTTTTTTTTTTAACCTGTGGAGCCCCTTTCAGAAATCAGTTTCTTTGGTGGGGTGTTTAGATGTGATATTACACAGCAGGGGAAGATAGTAAGGGACTTGTAAAATAAAGAGATATCTAAACAGTTATGCAGTGTCTATGCAGTAAAAGTGTATGTTTAAAACTGAAATTAACTATAACAGTTTATTCTCAGCAGTCACTAGCATACTTGACATTGTCAAAACCTTGTCACACATACAAACTTTTTCCTAATGAAATATATGAGACTGTTTGCAATACAGTAGATTGGACACTGATGGTGAGAGCTGCAATCAGGTTCATGAAATAATGAATAAACATTTAACACTTTGCTGACCAGCAATCCAGGGCATTACTGTCTCCCACTACCAAAGGTGTTCGAAGATTTTTGTCCAAATAACTGGTTTTCTAATAAAATGCATACAAAAATCAAAAACGAACGTAGGGTTTTGAAACCTTCAGAGCACCATTAAAAATCTTTCTACACATGAAAAAATATATATTATGCAAATATGTCACATGATCATGGTGGCCATCAAATTTCAGGAGATGTTATAAAACCATAATCTTTTTCCAGTTATTAATAAACCTGTTCAATGTCAGTGTAATAAAATGTTGGGGACATGTTGGCGATGAATAAAGTGAGCTAAATAGGAGCAATTATTTAATGATTGACCAAATATTTCAACATAAAAAGCAAAAAAAAATATGGGATTAAAGTGAAAAAAAATCGTTTTAGTTTATTGCGGTCATTTGTCACTTTACAGTAAGCATTTGTGAATGCTTGATTATAAAAGCACCTCCAGTTGAAGTCTGAGCTACTTCCTTCATTAACTGGAGTTGAAGCTGTAGCTGTAGAGCTCTGTCTTTGTCGGGAATGTTGATAATCCTTAACTGTGTGGTATAGCTTGAAACAAGGTGTCAAATATAGAGGGTCAAATATAGAGGTGTATTGCAATCTGGGTGGTATATTCAAGTCTTAACTTCTTTTACCTGCAGCCTCATACACTTTACAGTCTGTTTTGTCCCTTGCTTTTTTTGATTTTTTAAAAAAGAATGGCGCTCAATAAGTCGTTATGCTGTAACGTGTGACCTTGAAGATGTTACATTGTGCAAAGAGCAGCAAGTCCAGTAAGAGCAAGACTGACATCCTGCCTGAACCTCTTTGCTGTAATCTAATACACAGAGTTGGCAGTGCTGTAGCTTATATGCTCACTGACCAGAGCAGTATCAACTAAAAATAAATAAATAATATAATGACAGGTACCATTTACACAATCTAGGTGGGTAGGGGCAGTTTGCACCCAGCTGGCCGAAGTGATCGACACATTTACAAACAACATTTTCAGCTATAGAAATGTTCTGGTCTCTTGTGCCACATCCCCCTCTTTCTTTGGGTGCACCTACATCAACTCCCTCATCAGGTCTGTCATGGCTATTGTCAATTTCATTTAGGATATATGACAAAAACATTTTCAGGTGAATCTCTACTTATCCAGGAACTATCACTTTCAGCGTTAAATTCGCTGGCAGATTCTGAATAATCAATACTGCTCATCTGGCTTTTGTTATCAGACATGACAAAAAATGCTGAGCATGCGCTGGTGATGGAAATTATCACAATTTTACTGAAAACAATGCTCTCATCTGCTCAAAATGATATTGATCGTAGGCGCAGCCATCTTGGAATAATAAAAACACCCAGATGTTGCTAAATAAAAAAAAACTATTGGTAGGGATGTCTGTCGGCAGACTACATGTCACGAATTTGACGATCATCAAAGATGCTCACCGGGGGATATGGCCAGAAATTGGGTGATTGTCCAAGTTGGTCAGCAGGGGATATGGCCAGAGATTTGGTGATTGTCCAGGTTGGTCAGCAGGGGATATGGCCAGAGATTTGGTGATTGTCCAAGTTGGTCAGCAGGGGATATGGCCAGAGATTTGGTGATTGTCCAGGTTGGTCAGCAGGGGATATGGCCAGAGATTTGGTGATTGTCCAGGTTGGTCAGCAGGGGATATGGCCATATATTCGGTGATTGTCCAGGTTGGTCAGCAAAGTGTTAATGAGACCCTGTGATCAGACTGTTGGCCAGTTTTCTTTTTTCTGGTTCAGTTGATGATAATTGCAGGTGAATGTCTGGTTCTTCATCTCAGTTTATTCTCAATGATTGATGCATAGTCCAAGAGTTCTGATTAATAAAGGTATATTGTTGGTAAAAGCAGCAAGACTAATTTTCCTTTGTCGGTGTTCACCACAATGCCATAAACATATATTAGGGTCTGCCAGAAGGTATTATTAAGTACTGGATATTGATAGGTAGTCCTGCTTTTTTGAAATACTTATAAAGATAGACTGCACTTATCTGCATCCACCAAGACAGACAGACACAATTGTATCCATATTGGGGCATGGTCTACATCCACTAAGATAGACAGATACAACTATAGCCATAGTGGGGCATTGTCTACAGCACCAAAACAGACACAACTATAGTCATAGTGGGGCATTGTCTGAGCCACCAAGAGAGACAGACACAACTTTAGCCATGCTAGGACATTGTCTACAGCCACCAAGAGAGACAGACACAACTAAAGCCATATTGGGGCATTGTCTGAGCCACCAAGAGAGACAGACACAAGTGTAGCCATGTTAGGATATTGTCCACAACCACCAGGACACACCTGGCTAACCATGAAGGCTGGCACCGTCCCAAGCCCAGCATTTGGGCTGTCGTATGTCCATCCCGGAGACCAAGGCATGTAAAGGTAATTTCATGTTTTCTTTGAACCTGAAGTGCTTGCAATTGCCTTCTGTGTCCACAGGTATGCAATTACTGTTTGGTACTATGATGCTGAAGAGAGAGCCCAAGCTTTGAAGAAATTCAAAGGTAAGATTTTCTTGCAAAATATGTGCTGTGCTGGTTGAATGGTAATCACAGTTGTATGGCAGTCACAGTTTTATGGCAGTCACAGTTGTGTGGCAGTCACAGTTGTGTGGCAGTCACAGTTGTGTGGCAGTCACAGGTGTGTGGCAGTCACAGTTGTGTGGCAGTCACAGTTTTAGGGCAGTCACAGTTTTAGGGCAGTCACAGTTGTGTGGCAGTCACAGTTGTAGGGCAGTCACAGTTGTGTGGCAGTCACAGTTGTGTGGCAGTCACAGTTGTAGGGCAGTCACAGTTATAGGGCAGTCACAGTTATGTGGCAGTCACAGTTGTATGGCAGTCACAGTTGTGTGGCAGTCACAGTTGTATGACAGTCACAGTTGTGTGGCAGTCAAAGTTGTGTGGCAGTCACAGTTATGTGGCAGTCACAGTTATGTGGCAGTCACAGTTGTGTGGCAGTCACAGTTGTGTGGCAGTCACAGTTGTGTGGCAGTCACATTGTGTGGCAGTCACAGTTGTGTGGCAGTCACAGTTGTGTGGCAGTCACAGTTGTGTGGCAGTCACAGTTGTGTGGCAGTCACAGTTGTGTGGCAGTCACAGGTGTGTGGCAGTCACAGTTGTGTGGCAGTCACAGTTGTGTGGCAGTCACAGATGTGTGGCAGTCACAGTTGTGTGGCAGTCACAGTTGTGTGGCAGTCACAGGTGTGTGGCAGTCACAGTTGTGTGGCAGTCACAGTTTTCTGGCAGTCACAGTTTTCTGGCAGTCACAGGTGTGTGACAGTCACAGTTGTAGGACAGTCAGAGTAGACCATGGTTGTTGTAGACAGTCACAGTTGTAGGACAGTCAGAGTAGACCAGGGTGGTTGTAGACAGTCACAGTTGTAGGGCAGTCAGAGTAGACCGTGGTGGTTGTAGACAGTCACAGTTGTAGGACAGTCAGAGTAGACCATGGTGGTTGTAGACAGTCACAGTTGTAGGACAGTCAGAGTAGACCAGGGTGGTTGTAGTCAGTCACAGCTGTAGGGCAGTCAGAGTAGACCATGGTGGTTGTAGTCAGTCACAGTTGTAGGACAGTCAGAGTAGACCATGGTGGTTGTAGACAGTCACAGTTTTAGGACAGTCAGAGTAGACCAGGGTGGTTGTAGACAGTCACAGTTGTAGGGCAGTCAGAGTAGACCATGGTGGTTGTAGACAGTCACAGTTGTAGGACAGTCAGAGTAGACCATGGTGGTTGTAGACAGTCATAGTTGTAGGACAGTCAGAGTAGACCATGGTGGTTGTAGACAGTCACAGTTGTAGGACAGTCAGAGTAGACCAGGGTGGTTGTAGACAGTAACAGTTGTAGGACAGTCAGAGTAGACCATGGTGGTTGTAGACAGTCACAGTTGTAGGGCAGTCAGAGTAGACCATGGTGGTTGTAGACAGTTACAGTTGTAGGGCAGTCAGAGTAGACCATGGTGGTTGTAGACAGTCACAGTTGTAGGGCAGTCAGAGTAGACCATGGTGGTTGTAGACAGTCACAGTTGTAGGACAGTCAGAGTAGACCATGGTGGTTGTAGACAGTCACAGTTGTAGGACAGTCAGAGTAGACCAGGGTGGTTGCAGACAGTCACAGTTGTAGGACAGTCAGAGTAGACCATGGTGGTTGTAGACAGTCACAGTTGTAAGGCAGTCAGAGTAGACCATGGTGGTTGTAGACAGTCACAGTTGTAGGGCAGTCAGAGTAGACCATGGTGGTTGTAGACAGTCACAGTTGTAGGACAGTCAGAGTAGACCAGGGTGGTTGTAGTCAGTCACAGCTGTAGGACAGTCAGAGTAGACCATGGTGGTTGTAGTCAGTCACAGTTGTAGGACAGTCAGAGTAGACCATGGTGGTTGTAGACAGTCACAGTTGTAGGACAGTCAGAGTAGACCAAGGTGGTTGTAGACAGTCACAGTTGTAGGACAGTCAGGGTAGACCAGGGTGGTTGTAGACAGTCACAGTTGTAGGACAGTCAGAGTAGACCATGGTGGTTGTAGACAGTCACAGTTGTAGGACAGTCAGAGTAGACCAGGGTGGTTGTAGACAGTCACAGTTGTAGGACAGTCAGAGTAGACCAGGGTGGTTGTAGACAGTCACAGTTGTAGGACAGTCAGAGTAGACCGTTGTGGTTGTAGACAGTCACAGTTGTAGGACAGTCAGAGTAGACCGTTGTGGTTGTAGACAGTCACAGTTGTAGGACAGTCAGAGTAGACCATGGTGGTTGTAGACAGTCACAATTGTAGGACAGTCAGAGTAGACCATGGTGGTTGTAGACAGTCACAGTTGTAGGACAGTCAGAGTAGACCATGGTGGTTGTAGACAGTCACAGTTGTAGGACAGTCAGAGTAGACCAAGGTGGTTGTAGACAGTCACAGTTGTAGGACAGTCAGAGTAGACCAGGGTGGTTGTAGACAGTCACAGTTGTAGGACAGTCAGAGTAGACCATGGTGGTTGTAGACAGTCACAGTTGTAGGACAGTCAGAGTAGACCATGGTGGTTGTAGACAGTCACAGTTGTAGGACAGTCAGAGTAGACCATGGTGGTTGTAGACAGTCACAGTTGTAGGACAGTCAGAGTAGACCAGGGTGGTTGTAGTCAGTCACAGCTGTAGGACAGTCAGAGTAGACCATGGTGGTTGTAGTCAGTCACAGTTGTAGGACAGTCAGAGTAGACCATGGTGGTTGTAGACAGTCACAGTTGTAGGACAGTCAGAGTAGACCATGGTGGTTGTAGTCAGTCACAGTTGTAGGACAGTCAGAGTAGACCAGGGTGGTTGTAGACAGTCACAGTTGTAGGACAGTCAGAGTAGACCATGGTGGTTGTAGACAGTCACAGTTGTAGGGCAGTCAGAGTAGACCAGGGTGGTTGTAGACAGTCACAGTTGTAGGACAGTCAGAGTAGACCAGGGTGGTTGTAGACAGTCACAGTTGTAGGACAGTCAGAGTAGACCGTTGTGGTTGTAGACAGTCACAGTTGTAGGACAGTCAGAGTAGACCGTTGTGGTTGTAGACAGTCACAGTTGTAGGACAGTCAGAGTAGACCATGGTGGTTGTAGACAGTCACAGTTGTAGGACAGTCAGAGTAGACCATGGTGGTTGTAGACAGTCACAGTTGTAGGACAGTCAGAGTAGACCATGGTGGTTGTAGACAGTCACAGTTGTAGGACAGTCAGAGTAGACCAGGGTGGTTGTAGACAGTCACAGTTGTAGGACAGTCAGAGTAGACCAGGGTGGTTGTAGACAGTCACAGTTGTAGGACAGTCAGAGTAGACCATGGTGGTTGTAGACAGTCACAGTTGTAGGACAGTCAGAGTAGACCATGGTGGTTGTAGACAGTCACAGTTGTAGGACAGTCAGAGTAGACCAGGGTGGTTGTAGACAGTCACAGTTGTAGGACAGTCAGAGTAGACCATGGTGGTTGTAGACAGTCACAGTTGTAGGGCAGTCAGAGTAGACCAGGGTGGCTGTAGACAGTCACAGTTGTAGGACAGTCAGAGTAGACCAGGGTGGTTGTAGACAGTCACAGTTGTAGGACAGTCAGAGTAGACCATGGTTGTTGTAGACAGTCACAGTTGTAGGACAGTCAGAGTAGACGGTTGTGGTTGTAGACAGTCACAGTTGTAGGACAGTCAGAGTAGACCATGGTGGTTGTAGACAGTCACAGTTGTAGGACAGTCAGAGTAGACCAGGGTGGTTGTAGACAGTCACAGTTGTAGGACAGTCAGAGTAGACCAGGGTGGTTGTAGACAGTCACAGTTGTAGGACAGTCAGAGTAGACCAGGGTGGTTGTAGACAGTCACAGTTGTAGGACAGTCAGAGTAGACCAGGGTGGTTGTAGACAGTCACAGTTGTAGGACAGTCAGAGTAGACCAGGGTGGTTGTAGACAGTCACAGTTGTAGGGCAGTCAGAGTAGACAAGGGTGGTTGTAGACAGTCCTTCGCTATTGCATGCAGCTTACCCAATGTCCTCCATTTTTTTTTAACTGCATTCTCTAGCTTTTTTTTCCATGGGTTTCTGGGTTCCAGTGCAAAGATATTCTAGTTATATTGTTCCCGGGTTTTGTCAGCGTGTGTCCTATCCAACATATCTCCTCTTCACCTTTCGATCTCTGGACTTTGTTTCATTCTCTCCCAGAGTTCAACATTAGTGATTCTCTCTGTTCTGCATGGGCACCCGTTGAAGAATGTTTCTAGTTTATTAGTAATTGTTTTAGTTGTTCTTTATGTTTCCACTCCATACAACAGCTCTCATTTGACATTATAATTAAAAATTCAAAGTTTCTTGACTTCAGCAGACTTTTTAGTGCTTGTATTTGAGAGGTCCCAGGTTCACATTTCAGATGAGTTTCCACTTGCACTGAATCCACCTCTCTGCCTTTTTACTGTGGGTAGTGGGCTAGTACAGATATAAGAACTCACAAAACAACACAAGTGTGGGCGGTGAGCTAGTACAGATATCAGAACTCACATTACAACACAAGTGTGAGTGGCGGGCTAGTACAGATATCAGAACTCACATGACAACACAAGTGTGGCCCACAGGACAACACAAATGTGGCCCACATGACAATACAAAGGTGGCCCACATGACAACACAGATGTGGCCCACATGACAACACAGATGTGGCCCACATGACAACACAGATGTGGCCCACATGACAACTCAAATGTGGCCCACATGACAACACAAATGTGGCCCACATGACAACACAAATGTGGCCCACATGACAACACAGATGTGGCCCACATGACAACACAGATGTGGCCCACATGACAACACAGATGTGACCCACATGACAACACAGATGTGGCCCACATGACAACACAGATGTGGCCCACATGACAACACAGATGTGGCCCACATGACAACACAGATGTGGCCCACATGACAACACAGATGTGGCCCACATGACAGCACAGATGTGGCCCACATGACAACACAGCTGTGGCCCACATGATAACACAGATGTGGCCCACATGACAACACAAATGTGGCCCACATGACAACACAAATGTGGCCCACATGATAAAACAGATGTGGTCCACATGACAACACAGATGTGGCCCACATGACAACACAAATGTGGCCCACATGACAACACAAATGTGGCCCACATGACAACACAGATGTGGCCCACATGACAACACAAATGTGGCCCACATTACAACACAGATGTGGTCCACATGACAACACAGAGATACAACACAAATGGTCCACATGACAACACAGATGTGGCCCACATGACAACACAGATGTGGCCCACATGACAACACAAATGTGGCCCACATGACAACACAAATGTGGCCTACATGACATTACAATTGTGGCCCACATGCGAACATAAATGTGGCCCACATGACAACACAGATGTGGCCCACATGACAACATAAATGTGGCCCACATGACAACACAGATGTGACCCATATGGCTCTCGAGGGACCCTCAGTTTGACATGCCTTCTGTAGAGAAGTATCATTTTCCAGAGAGATTGTTAATCATTGCTGTTAGTCTATGAATCCATTGTAAACTGATGGATTCTCTTCGATGCTGTGCTCTGTTATTATGAGTAGTGTGGTCAATATAGGATCTATTTGGGGTGTGGCTGTCTGGTTAGTATAGGATCTATTTGGAGTGTGACTGTCTGGTTAGTATAGGATCTATTTGGAGTGTGGCTGTCTGGTTAGTATAGGATCTATTTGGATTGTGGCTGTCTGGTCAGTATAGGATCTATTTGGAGTGTGGCTGTCTGGTTAGTATAGGATCTATTTGGAGTGTGGCTGTCTGGTCAGTATAGGATCTATTTGGAGTGTGGCTGTCTGGTCAATATAGGATCTATTTGGAGTGTGGCTGTCTGGTTAGTATAGGATCTATTTGGAGTGTGGCTGTCTGGTTAGTATAGGTAGGATCTATTTGGAGTGTGGTTGTCTGGTCAGTATAGGATCTATTTGGAGTGTGGCTGTCTGGTCAGTATAGGATCTTTTTGGAGTGTCGCTGTCTGGTCAATATAGGATCTATTTGGAGTGTGGTTGTCTGGTCAGTATAGGATCTATTTGGAGTGTGGTTGTCTGGTCAGTATAGGATCTATTTGGAGTGTGGCTGTCTGGTCAGTATAGGATCTATTTGGAGTGTGGCTGTCTGGTTAGTATAGGATCTATTTGGAGTGTGGCTGTCTGGTCAGTATAGGATCTATTTGGAGTGTGGCTGTCTGGTTAGTATAGGATCTATTTGGAGTGTGGCTGTCTGGTCAGTATAATATCTATTTGGAGTGTGGCTGTCTGGTCAGTATAGGATCTATTTGGAGTGTGGCTGTCTGGTCAGTATAGGATCTATTTGGAGTGTGGCTGTCTGGTTAGTATAGGATCTATTTGGAGTGTGGCTGTCTGGTTAGTATAGGATCTATTTGGAGTGTGGCTGTCTGGTTAGTATAGGATCTATTTGGAGTGTGGCTGTCTGGTCAGTATAGGATCTATTTGGAGTGTGGCTGTCTGGTCAGTATAGGATCTATTTGGAGTGTGGCTGTCTGGTTAGTATAGGATCTATTTGGAGTGTGGCTGTCTGGTCAGTATAGGATCTATTTGGAGTGTGGTTGTCTGGTCAGTATAGGATCTATTTGGAGTGTGGCTGTCTGGTCAGTATAGGATCTATTTGGCTGAAAACCTGCCTGTACATCCCTTAATAGTGGCAACCTGTAGTCTTCCTTATAATCCTACTTGATAATTTTGCGGAAGTGTCAGCTACATAATTTCTCTCTAGTTTTCACTATCATGCTTGTCATCTTGGGAGGGGGGGGGGGTATATCTTTCCTCTGATGTTATCCTTCCATCTTGTTCTTGGTCTACCTCATGCTCTACATCCTTCTCTTTCCATGTATGCTTTGTATGTGACACCATACCATACAAAGCATACATGGAAAGAGAAGAAGGACGTAGAGCATGAGGTAGACCAAGAACAAGATGGAAGGATAACATCAGAGAAACTCTACAACAGCACGATGTGCCTATGGTCGAGGCGGCCAGAAGAGCTAGAAACAGAACCTTATGTCTCCCTCGACACCCACAGCAGTAAAAGAGGAAGTGAAGAAGAAGAAGAAATCTTTCCTAATATCCTCTTTAGATGGTATTTCATAATTGATATCTATTTCGGTTTCTGGAGGATGAATAACTGGATGTACCTCTGGGGTGGAAATAGGTCATTCCAGGTCTTTGGGTCACTGACCACCCAGTATTCCTCTCTTGATAAGAAGTTCCAGTGCTGTTGGGCTAACTTGCTTGTGATTTAATAAGGGACAAGAATTGCTTCACAGCGCAGTCCCCATGTAGAGGCAGCTGGATCAGACAATTCTCTACAATACCTGAGATAGAAGGGTTCTGCTGATAGGCTCCTTAAACATTTACACAAAACTGGTATTATCACATTTATACTCTGATAGAAATGTTTCACTGAGTCTGCTACAGCATTCACATACAACTGATATCATCACATTTGAACTCTATATTAACACATTTATGCAATCATTACTATTTTACTCTGTGTTAACAAATTCATTTTATTGCAAGCATTACTGTTTTATTCTGTTAACAGATTCATTTTATTGCAAGCATAACTATTTTAGTTTGTGTTTTAACAAATTTATTTTATTGCAAGTTTTTTTATTTGAATATTTTGTGGCAACAGGGGGTTCTGACTCTAACAGCATCAAACCACAAGCAGTGCCTCTCATCAACGCAGATAGCCAGGGATTATCCAGATAGGCCACATAATCTTTCACAGATGCAGTGCCTCTCATCAACGCAGATAGCCAGGGATTATCCAGATAGGCCACATTGTCTTTCACAGATGCAGTGCCAGCTGCATATTCTTATATTTACAGATTCATTCTCCATGGCCAAGATTGGATAGCTGGATGTTAGTGAAACAATTTGTTCTGACTGAGATCTGTCATTATGTCAGCAGTTGGTGAGTAGTAGTGTTTGTTTTACCTGGAATCATCCAGACATGGATACTGGTTTGTTTCACTTGGAATCCTCTGAACATGGCGCATCATCCAGACATGGATACTGGTTTGTTTCACTTGGAATCCTCTGAACATGGCGCATCATCCAGACATGGATACTGGTTTGTTTCACTTGGAATCTTCCGAACATGGCGCATCATCCAGACATGGATACTGTTTTGTTTCACATCATCCGATGTGAATACTGGTTTGTTTCCCCTGGCATCCTCCGAACATGGATACTGGTTTGTTTCACTTGGCATCATCCAAACATGGATACTGGTTTGTTTCCTCTGGCATCCTCCGAACATGGATACTGGTTTGTTTCACTTGGCATCATCCGAACATGGATACTGGTTTGTTTCACTTGGCATCATCCAAACATGGATACTGGTTTGTTTCACTTGGCATCATCCGAACATGGATACTGGTTTGTTTCACTTGGAATCATCCAAACATGGATACTGGTTTGTTTCACTTGGCATCATGCGAACATGGATACTGGTTTGTTTCACTTGGCATCATCCAAACATGGATACTGGTTTGTTTCACTTGGCATCATCCAAACATGGATACTGGTTTGTTTCACTTGGAATCATCCAAACATGGATACTGGTTTATTTCACTTGACATCATGTGAACACGGGTACTGGGCTTACAGCAAGGAGGCAGCTACTCAGGAAATCAGCATCTGGCATTTATTGATCACTTCTTTGTCTACTTCTTCCTTGTTCAGCTCCAGAATTTCATGTTCGCCATCAAACCTGTTAATTTGAGCCAGTGATCTCCACACCTGTGTGTTTCCTGGACACAAATATTTTCCCCACATATTCCAGCAGTTTTCAACTTTTGAGCCATCACTGACAGCACCCCCTGAGTGTATTTTGTTTCCACCTGTAAACTAAAAAAAAAAAAACTGCTCTGTTTGTCTTGTTTTAGTTTTCACTAGAATGAGTTTACTCAGTTTATTTTATGTTGAATTTTTCTTGTACAGAATGAGATTTCTCAGTTAATATTATTTGGACTTTTTCTTGTTATGGCATTTTCTCTAATTGCAGTTTTTTGTTTTTGTTTTAATTTATTTTAGGAGACGTGTCTGAAACACATTTAGGCTGATTATTGAAATTTGAACACAGTTTCAGCCAGCTAATGATGTAGTTCAGGTGGTGCCACATTTTCTTAAGTATTGGGCCCATCATAGGGTGATTTAGAGATATACATTTTCTTAAGTGTTGGGTCCATCTTAGGGTGAATTAGAGATATACATTTTCTTAAGTGTTGGGTCCATCTTAGGGTGAATTAGAGATATACATTTTCTTAAGTGTTGGGTCCATCTTAGGGTGAATTAGAGATATACATTTTCTTAAGTGTTGGGTCCATCTTAGGGTAAATTAGAGATATACATTTTCTTAAGTGTTGGGTCCATCTTAGGGTGATTTAGAGATATACATTTTCTTAAGTGTTGGGTCCATCTTAGGGTGAATTAGAGATATACATTTTCTTAAGTGTTGGGTCCATCTTAGGGTAAATTAGAGATATACATTTTCTTAAGTGTTGGGTCAATCTTAGGGTGAATTAGAGATGCACATTTTCTTAAGTGTTGGGTCCATCTTAGGGTGAATTAGAGATATACATTTTCTTAAGTGTTGGGCCCATCAGAGGGTGAATTAGAGACGCACATTTTCTTATGTTTTAGACTTTCTTACAAATATCTATGGACTGTATTCTCAGGGGTTAGAGGTCATATTAGCCATATTCGGATCCATGACCCATTTACATACGATTAAACACCTTACCACATGTGATTAGGTGTGTTTAGATGCATTCTACATTATCCTGTTGCTTTGTTTACCATAGAATTGTGGTCGGTGAACTGTGTATGTTTTTGCCCTGAAAATATTTCTTACGATAGTCTACATTTCATTTATACAAAAGCCCAAAAAAAAAAAAATTGATAAAAGTGAGGAAGAATTTAGTTTCTTTTAAGGAGTAATAGAAAAGATCATTTTGGCATGTGTGAGTTAAGAAGACTGGATGCTAAATGCTTCATGGCCCACTGGCAGACGTGTACTTCTGGTTGTGAGCAAGACAGCCGTGGAGATGATAAGGATGGGAGAATAGAAATGGTCTTGCACTCTCCCCCTGTAAAGAAGGTAAAGGTGCCGAAACAATTTTCAAAGCAGTTCCTGATGAAGATTGGAAGGCTGATGTTGTGCTCGCTCTTCCGTTGAGTTTCTGCTACATACACGGTAGCGGTGGAGACCGTGAGGAAGTAGATTTAGCAGAGAATACATTTTCTGTCACTATCGCTAGTAAAGGAGAGGTTTCTTGGCGTCGCCATAGTATATTTCTTGTCAATACTCGGGCCAACCACCCGCTTGCCTATCACAAATATAGCCCTCACGGCTGACGCCTCTTTTGTGTTGGAGGATAGAAAAGTATTCAGCACAGGCAAGATGATCAGCGAGGAACTTGCTTAGCACAGTGGTAACCATGGCAGCAGCGAAAGGGTTACCTGTTGCAGCCATCATAGAGATAAACATTTTCTTGAATATTGCAGCCATCATAAGGTGAATTAGAGATATACATTTTCTTGAATGTTGCAGCCATCATAGAGATAAACATTTTCTTGAATATTGCAGCCATCATAAGGTGAATTAGAGATATACATTTTCTTGAATGTTGCAGCCATCGTAGGATGAAAAAGAGATATACATTTTCTTGAATGTTGCAGCCATCGTAGGATGAAAAAGAGATATACATTTTCTTGAATGTTGCAGCCATCGGAGGATGAATAAGAGATATACATTTTCTTAAATGTTATAGCCATCATAGGATGAGATGGGGAGACATATTTGACTGTTGTGTTTGGTGTTTACAGGTTCGGTTAAGGAGGCTGATTGGACTCTTGTGTTTGGTGGGTACAGGTTCGGTTAAGGAGGCTGATTTGACTGTTGTGTTTGGTGGGTACAGGTTCGGTTAAGGAGGCTGATTGGACTGTTGTGTTTGGTGGGTACAGGTTCGGTTAAGGAGGCTGATTGGACTGTTGTGTTTGGTGGGTACAGGTTCGGTTAAGGAGGCTGATTTTACTGTTGTGTTTGGTGGGTACAGGTTTGGTTAAGGAGGCTGATTGGACTGTTGTGTTTGGTGGGTACAGGTTCGGTTAAGGAGGCTGATTGGACTGTTGTGTTTGGTGGGTACAGGTTCGGTTAAGGAGGCTGATTTGACTGTTGTGTTTGGTGGGTACAGGAACGGTTAAGGAGGCTGATTGGACTGTTGTGTTTGGTGGGTACAGGAACGGTTAAGGAGGTTGATTGGATTGTTGTGATGGGCAGCCTTAAATAAGGAAGCAGCTTGAACAGCAGTTTATGTGTGTCTGACCAGCTTCTCACTTGCCACCAGTTGCATTGAACCTGTTCTATTGTGTGGCAGAGAAATGTTACATTGAACCTGTTCTGTTGTGTGGCAGAGAAATGTTACATTGAACCTGTTCTGCTGTGTGATGACAAAGAAATGTTGCATTTAAACTGTTCTGCTATGTTGCAGAGAAATGTTATGTTGAACCTGTTCTGCCGGTTGACAGAGAAATGTTACATTTAACCTGTTCTACTGTGTGACAAAGAAATGTTGCATTGAACCTGTTCTGCTTTGTTGCATAGAAATGTTACATTGAACCTTTTGTTTTGTGTGACAGGGAAAGGTTACATTGTAGTACCTATTCTGTTGTGTGACAGAGAAGTGTTACATTGTAGTATATATTCTGCTGCTGTGTGACAGAAAAGTGTTACATTGTAGTACATATTCTGCTGTTGTGTGACAGAGACGTGTTACATTGTAGTATATATTCTGCTGTTGTGTGACGGGGAAATGTTACATTGTACACACTCTACCAGCAGCTGATTATTGTAATGATGGAGTGTGGCTCACATTCTCTGTCAGGCTAATAGAGAAGCTAGAACACATGCAAAGTTTAGCCACATTATCTGTCAGGCTAATAGAGAAGCTAGAACACATGCAAAGTTTAGCCACATTATCTGTCAGGCTAATAGAGAAGCTAGAACACATGCAAAGTTTAGCCACATTATCTGTCAGGCTAATAGAGAAGCTAGAACACATGCAAAGTTTAGCCACATTATCTGTCAGGCTAATAGAAAAGCTAGAACACATGCAAAATTTAGCCACATTATCTGTCAGGCTAATAGAGAAGCTAGAACATAGCAAAGTTTAGCCACATTATCTGTCAGGCTAATAGAGAAGCTAGAACACATGCAAAGTTTAGCCACATTATCTGTCAGGCTAATAGAGAAGCTAGAACACATGTAAAGTAAAGCCATGCGAGTCATTTTGGGATATACATGGGGACATGCCAATTGTAGTATGCCTGTGGCACACACCTGCATTGCCATCTGTATATGAAAGGTACAAGGTTTTAGAGCAAAAATATACCTTAAAGTCTCAACTTACAGGGAACACTTTCTACATGAGGCCTTGGGAGATAGTAATTGGCATTAGCTGAAAAGAGGTGACTCCTGGATGGCACAGGCATGTCACGTTCAGAACTGTTTGTGCTACTAACAAGACAGCGCATGGTGAGGAATGGGTTACAGTGTCGTCTAGCAAAACAGCCTTGCACAACGTAATAGTTACCGTGGTCCAAGGCTCCCGCAAGTGAATAGCTGTGAAATAGAGGCATTGGTGCAAGAGCTGATAAATGAAAATTCACACTCAGGAGTCATCATTATATACACCTTAGGGTCT